CAAATTTGTTAGAAGTTTGACTAGGTCTTTAAACATACCAGTTTTTGACAAATTTAACATGAAATTTATATCTTTTTCTAATGAATATCTAATGCTTTTTTCTAACATGAACTTCTCTTGTATAATATTTTCTATTCTGCTTTTCATTTTAAATTTATATATTTTATATGCCAAATATGATATTATAGTATTATAAAAACGAATTCTTGAATTTGTTTCCAAGTAAAATCCTACAACAATATGTTTCCATTGCACATCATAGTTCATAATAATATTCAACTTTTGCCATACACCTTTTACATTATCACAATCAAAAATTTGATGTTTTATATTTTCATTTTCATTTCCACAAAATTCACATTTTGCATTTTCTCTTAATTTACCTTTTCGTAAGAAAGAATTAAAACATAAAATATTATTCAACAATTTATAATTAAATTCACTTAGACGTTTATCATACATGAGTTTGATTTTATTTCTATAAATATTACACCAGTATTCTTTACTCACACAGAAGTTTCGACCTAATATTGATTGATAACATGGATATTTAAACTTTTTAGATAACATATTCTCATAGAAAAACTTACATTTTTTATCTGTAATACAATTAAAACCACTGTTAAAATTGAAAGAATTTACAGAAGTTGTCTTGGTAAAAATACTTCATATCAAACATGTTAATCTGTTTCGTTACTACTTTTTTTAGAATCTTGTACTCACACAACCAGTTAGAGTTATTTATCAAAGTATTTGAAATTTCTTGTAATGTTTTAAAGTTACCATTTTCATCAAAGAGATCTTTCGTGTACAAAATATTACTTGCAATCCAATTTTTAAAACATATTGTTTTACCTTTAAATTGGTATAAATTTTTATTCTAAAGTGGTTGTTGTGCAAATTTGACATTTGATAAATTTGATATTTCTATTTCCTTTTTACATTCATTGAAATAACAAAATATTTCTTTATAAAAAGTAGACAGGCGAGAAATAAGTGAAAAGTTTTCGAGTTTTCTTTCAGACAATGTAAGTAAATAATTAATGTCTATATTCATTTCATTCAGGTATCCATTTATGACTTTATTCAGTATACAAGATTCATCACTAAGTCTTGTTACCCAAGATGCCTTTAATTTTAGTTCAATATCAACTAATCCTATTCCCCCTTTTTCTTGTTTGCCTATAACAGTGTCTCGCTTAATTCTACCTCGTTTGTTCCATATAAAATTGAATACACTACTTTTAAATTTTTTTTATCAACTCGTAGTCTGGAATTGGTAATATGGAGCCAACATATATTAATTTTGATAAAGCCAAAGAATTAACTACACAAGACTTTCCAAAAATTGTTAATTTTCTTTTTTTCCATTATTCAAACAGTTTTTCCCTATCTTCATAAATTTTAATCCAATTTAAGTTGTAGCATTGGTCTTTGTTATGACCAATAAAAATACCTAAGCAGCGAACAGCATCATTAGTTACATTTATACCACAAACATTTGAGTGCCTATCCTTGAGACTACCTAAAAGTATACATTGTGTTTTATTCAGATTAATTTTTGATCCAGCATGGTTGCAAAAAGTTTGAACACTTTCAATTGCTGTTTCTAATGAGGATATATCTTTTAAAGCTAACGTTATGTCATCCGCATGTTGTAGATTTTTTATTTTTGGAGAAGTTGCATTTAGTTTAATACCTTTGATATGTTCATTACTTTTTATTTTTATAGCTAATATTTCTGCGACAAATAAAAATAGCCAGGCTGAAATGGGACACCCTTGTCTTATGCCTCTAGACATAGAACACGTTTTGGAAATCCAACCATTATTTTTTACTTTAAAAATTGGGTTGGTGTATAAAATTTTAATCCATCTGATAAAGTTTTCCCCAAAGTTAAATTTTTCTAGTACTTTAAATAAAAAATTCCATTCTATCGAATCAAAAGCTTTTTCAAAATCTATAAATAACAAAAGTCCTTCACTATTATTTTCCATACAATGTTCATAAATATCTAAAACAGTTCTAGCATTAATTCCGATATAACGTCCTTTAATATATGCTGATTGTTCATTACTTATTAATTGATCTATAACTTTCTGTAATCTTCTTGCAAATATGAAAGCTATTATCTTATAGTCAGTATTTGTTAAACTTAAAGGTCGATAGTTCTTTAAATCATTCTTGTCTCCTTTTTTAAATAAAACTGTAATAAGAGATATGCGTTGTGAAAAAGTCAACTCTTTATTGTCAAAAACGGAAAGCAGTACTTCGTAAAATAAGGGGCTTATAGTGTTCCAAAAACATTTATAAAATTCACACGGTAAACCATCTAAGCCAGGAGATTTATTGTTCTTCATATTAAAAACAGCTTCTTTACATTCATCTATTGTAGGCATTGCATCACATTTTTCCTTCTCTTTATTTTCTAATTCTGGACAATTAACATTTTGTAGATATTATGATATTTCAGCCTTATCAATTAATTTACTACTGTAAAGGTTTTCGTAAAAAGTGCACATTTCGTGTAATATCTCAGAATTGGAAGAAAATGTCTTAGTTTCATTTCGTACTTCAAAAATTGTATTATTAGTTTGGTTTTTCTTTTCTAATCCAAGGAAAAAACTTGTGTTTCTTTCGCCCTCTTCTATCCATTGTGCTTTAGATCTTATTTGTGCGCCTTTTGCTAATTCGTTTTGCATTTCATCTAAATCTTTTTCCAATTTTCTTTTTTCGTTCATATTAATTTGAGCGCTAGGAAGATTTTCAAGTTCATCAATTTTCTTTTCAACTAACTGTATCTTCATTATACCCCCCGCTTGAAAAGCGGGAGGGTATATAGTAATTATACCCCCCGCTTGAAAAGCGGGAGGGTATATAGTAATCGTTAATTCCGTCCGTCTGTACGTCTGTCCGTCCGTCCGTCCGTCTGTCTGTCCGTCCGTCCGTCTGTCCGTCCGTCCGTCTGTTACGCTTGGGGTACCCATCTCTTATCCGCAACTCCTCTCATACCACTGAATGAAATTTGATGCAACTTTCACAGAATCTTTATTACATATTGCCATTGTGCACCTCCTATTTTAATTTTTGATCCGACACATATTTTGAGCTTTCCAGCCACAAGAAAACATGGACTTTTTCACCAGTTTTAACCATATGGGAGGCGGGGGGTATCATTTAGTGAGCTCATCGCTCACAGTACCTCTAGTTTTTATGTTGTGTTTTGATTGTTTAGCATAATGTATTGAGAAATCGCGAATCTTTACTTTGAATAATTCCCATTTTGAAATTGAATCCAGTGACTTATCTAATTCATTAAAAATCTTGATGACACCTTCTTTATATTCAGTCTTATCTAAATGAGATACGTTTAATTTCCAATATCCGGAGCCGCGTTCTTGTTTGCTAAAATCCACAGATGTTTTTAAGTATCTATGATCGCTCATTCTAGTGTTTTTATTGTGTGTGCCTGGTATGCGTCTAATAAATATATTTTTCATAAAGTTTAAAGTATCGCTACTTACAAATACATAATCTATTCTGTTAGGGGTGTTAATCTATATGCATATTGTGTACCTGTCAATTTTTAAATTTATAAAACACAATGTGCACAACTTGAGAGTTTAGGGTAATTCTGAAAGACTGAATCTTTTTTAAAAGATTGAATAAAATATTGTTAACACATTACTCATCCTCTTGTTTTATAACGTTTCAAGCATCCAAACCACATTGAGCTGTTCTCTAATGAATATTAATGAAATGTGCGCAATGAGGATGCGCCGTATATTATGTCGATGTTGTATTCTCACTTGTGCAGTTTTCGTTTTTACGTTTGCGTAATTTGCTCATTATATCGTGTAAATATTTTCTTGATTGTGTAGTTTTTGTATAGTTTGTGTAAATTTCAATAACTTTGTGTGTATTTTCCGCACTTTGTGTAAGTTTTGACTTGCTCGTGTAATTTTTGTTTAAGGTCGTGCAGAAAATATTTTTGAACCCATCGGCGTGCCATAAAAGAGTTTATTATTTAGTGAATATTTGTTGCCATTACGAGATGTGTACGTCTTACATTGTTTGTCGAAAGGTCAGCGGAAAAAATTCATTTGGATCAATGTGTCAAGTCCAAATTAGATAAATATTGCTTTCAGAGCTCAGTCAATTTAAGCGGAGCTGGCTGCAATCGCTATAAATTTGTTTATGTTCTGTAACAATGCACTCTAATCATTAAATGCAACCTGAATAAAGGAACAAAGACAGAATAGACTGTATATGAAGCCATACCTGGAAAGTTAATTTAATATTTAATTAGTCTTTTTTATTCTTCAATTTTTGCTAACGCTTACATACAGCTTTTGGTTTCTTTCACATCATACAGACTGAGTTGGGTTAAGATATTTTATTATTTGTTTATTATATTTTTACAATAATGTCATTGAAAATTATAAACAGTTGCTTGAAATCAGAAGAGTATAAACCCACCTTTACAAAAAAATCAGGAAACGAAAAAATGTGAATGCCAAAATTGTATACATGGACGCCAAATTTCCTTTTTTATTTATGTAATTCAAATGCTCCAAAAGAATCTGCATCAATGGTTTTATATTTTAAAAAAAGCCTGAAAACCCGTCATAAAGACAATGTAATGGGGAAAATATTATAAAATTTGGTGTTGCATACACAATGTCACAAAAGTTCGCGATGTTTCAGAATTATATGACAAGTTTTAGGATACATTAAAGTGAATGTAGCTTTCTTTGCTTAAAATCGACAACTTTAGACAAGTAGAGTCTAATATCCGTAGATACCTTACATATCCTTACTTAAGTTGTACAATTTGAAATCCCCTAACTGCCAGATTGTTTAATTGTTATTTTGATAATCAAAAATTAACTACCATATCAAAAATTACCCGTGTTCTTATGTGTTTTAATTTAGCTATATAGTGTTGACAGAAAACAAAATCTGACAAGAAATATCTTTGTTAATTAAGAATGAAGACGGGCGATCAGAAAAAGAACGACAACTCTTAGTAAAGACAAATTGTTTTGCCACCCGCACTCTCTTGTTAGAAATTGGAACGATTTCTAACATAATCAAGGTACGTATTTGTTTTTCTGTGTGCAGAATCTAAAACAAATTGATAATTTAGAAAGATTTCAAGTAGCAGCGATTCTTAAGTCAGACAATTTATTTAGTACCCATCAAATCTACCTGCATTAAATTCCATAATTCGAAATAAACCGAAAGTAGGCCATTTTATACGTTGTTTACCTGTTTACTATTTTCTTAATTAACCTGTCTTCTAGCGATGTTAACATGATAGTGGTACATGTACACTGTTTATCGAACCATTCATGTATATTGTTTTAATTTTCATTATTGAATAAATATTGCTTTAACTGAAAAACATGTACGCCCATTTTATAAGTGTAATTGAGTATAATGTAAAAGAGGTAAATATACTTTTTTTTTAATTACAGAGTCTCTGAGATAGTGAGTCATGGACCCCCGGACCAGTGCCCAGGACGTGATGCGATGTGACCTGTGTGAGACTGCTGTAGTACAGATGCACTGTGATACATGTCTTGTCAACCTGTGTAAGACCTGTGTAGGAGAACATTTTTCTACTGATCTTTCAAAACCTCATAAAATTGTTGATTTCAAGGCCAGGAAATCTACTTTGATTTATCCTAAATGCACGTCACATGATGTGGAAACATGTGAAATGTACTGTACTCAATGTGACATTCCTGTCTGCAACACTTGCATCGCTTCTGATCAACACCTAGGTCATAGATTTGTGAAAATTATCGAAGTCTTGAGTAAAAGAAAAGAAAAGATTATTAAGGAACGTACAGAATTAAAAGAAACAATCTATCAAACTTACCAGGGCATTGCAAGTGATGCAGAAAAGCGATTAAATCTATTACAAGAGGAATATGAAAATCTCCTGGCAGTCATAACAAAACAAGAAGACATTTGGCACAGAGAAATTACAGAACTGGTCCATCAACTTAAATCTAGAACTCATGAAATGGAAAAGAAACAGTTAGAAACTCTGCAGAAACATTTTGATGAAATAAAGCAGAAAATATCTGACATCCAGGATGATATTAATTCAATCGATGATGCTTTTAATTCTACAAACATTTCTGAGGTGTTCAGTTTTTTGTCTCTAATGAATAAATACAGAAAACTTCCGAAGAAAATCGTGTTTGGTGTCCCTAAATTTTCTCCCAATAAAATACAGGAAGAGCAATTGTATAATTTTACGCCTGGTGTTTTAGAAGAGGATGAATACAAATTTAATATGTCAAAATCAGAGTCACCAGAAACTGGATTCTCTCCTCCAGTAAAACAGCTGCTAGATGAACCAGAGACAGTCACCACCATAGACACTGGGTATAGAGTACTTTACAATGTGACCTGTCTAAGTGATGAAGAAATCTGGACAAGTGGAAATGACAATGTCATGAACCTCTACAGCATCAATCAGGGATCACTACTCAAATCAGTAGCAACCAAGTCCGGGAACGGACCAGAGGACATAGCAGTGACAAAAAGTGGAGATCTAGTTTATACTGATTACTATGATAGAACTGTGAACATTGTGAAGAATGAGAAGATAGAGGAAGTGATCAGACTACAGAACTGGAGACCTAGCGGTGTCTGTATAACCTACAATTGGGACTTGTTGGTTACTATGTATGATGATAACAATCAATCCAAGGTTGTCCGTTACTGTGGATCCACAGAAAAACAAACTATTCAGTCTGATGAGATGAGTAAACCTCTCTTTTCATTTGGTACTTTTGATAATTGTATCTGTGAGAACAGAAACCTTGATATCTGTGTGTCCGACAGTGGAGCTAAAGCAGTAGTGGTGGTCAATCAGGCCGGGAAACTGAGATTCAGATACACTGGACATACTCCTGCTCCAATGAACCAACCATTCAATCCACGAGGAATCACCACAGACAGTCAGAGTCACATCCTTACAACTGATGAGAACAATCACTGTGTCCACATTATAGACAAGGATGGACAGTTCCTCCGTTACATAGACTGTGGACTGAGTTCTCCCTATCGACTATGTATAGATACAAATGACAATCTGATTGTGGCTCAGTGTAATAACAGACAAGTTAAGAAAATCAAATATCTGAAGTGAATTCCAGATAACCAAAATTTAAAAAAGATTAGTAATACAAGAAATGTAATAAATGACAACAACTATAAAGTTTGCTATATTACCTTACCTGCATGCAAATATATTATGTATTTAAAAAATATTTACTGTACGTGAATATTCTTTATCTCTATCAAATATATTTAACAAGATAATTCAGAAAACGTGATCATTCCACTAAAGGAAAATCTGACAAGGATAATCAGGTAAGGGATCAAATCACCCCATCTTCTCTTCCCCGGATTTGCAGAATTATAAATTGTATGTACTGAAGTAAATAAAGGGCTGTCGGGACAGTAGGAGAAAGAGTATAGATATTTACTCTAAAACTCAAAAGCTTCTTGAGATTTCGCCCTGAATTGAAAGGTTTACGCACTATCATACATGATAGATGAAAAGTAAATCGAATGTATCACGTACTTACGTTTAACTTTAAAACTCATTTTAGTGTTTTAAGTAGATGTTTCCCTTTAAAAATCGACTTCAAGAGTACTGTGCAACTATACATTCAAGAAGTCAACTGTAAATCAGCCTTGTTAGATGAAAAATTCTGTGCAGTTTTGGACAATTTGAAATCACAAGACTTTACAAAAATCAAATTAGCTTAAAAACTTACGTGACTTTTCAATTTATACACAATCATATTTTTTGCGACAACAAATTAAAATCGAGGCTTTGTTTTATATCATTGACAGCTGCTTCTGTGAACAAAAATCTCTTGAATTGTTAATTTTTGACTTACCTCGTCATTGGTCATTTGAAAAATTATTTTGTTATGCAACATTCAGATTGCACACATAGGAAGTATTTTTTCAAGTTAAAATATCAAGAAGATGCTTTTTCTGATTGACAATATCTATGTGGTTTTTGCATCAGGTATTCCAACAATCTATTGTGAGATCAAAATTTTGGATAACATTTTGCAAAATCATGTCTTATTAGCAGACTTATTTTTATATTCATATGAAAAAAATCAGAATTTATGCAAAATTTATGCATTTAAAACCAAAACGCTTGCTGTGGCAAAATTATCATACATTTTTCAAGGCATATATCCTACTACGTATCTGTCAATTAATAATTATATATATTCCATTTACGACCTTACCTGATATATCCTTTTGAGCTTGATATAAAACATCTCTCTTTTGGCATACTTGGATATTTTACAAAAAGACACTAATGGTAATTCTAACATCAAAGTTATATGATAAACGTGATGACTTTAACTTATTTTAATCGTCCACTTCCATTTGACTTATGCAAAAATATATGGTTATCACCTACATACGGTTATATATCTCAAAAGCTCCTTTGAGATATTCGATACGCAAGAGTGTTTTAGACAGACAGTATGGACACAATTTCTAAAAGAAATTAAATTATTGACAGGCAAGTTGATAAAAAGAATTCAATATACAGTCTCGTTTAAAGACCCCTTGATGATAATTGGAAAATGGTTATATTATCACTTATACAATACTTTGTAAATAAATACAATTTTTCATTTAGTTAAATGCTGCAATTTTAATTAATATTAATTGTTAAAATGCCATTTCAGCTTATAACACAGAAAACAGAGAGTGTATTATACCCGGGTCCTCTTGTCGTCTCAAAAATGCAATTAAAACGTTTCAATTTATAGAAATATTTAAACCTCCAATGTAACCATTAGAATACTGAGAAAGCAATTAAAAAGATTGGCGTTTAAAGAACATAATCTTCACCATAGTAAAATGATCTACGTGAGAGCCTTGTTAATTTTTGCTTCTTCTTTTGTATATTGTTTGATGTAGACGTTGAGATTGAATACTGTTCGTTATCTCCATATCCTTCTCTAGATTATTTTAATAGTCTAAATGAACACCAGAAAAATATTACTATTTACCTTAAAATAATGCAATTTTAATGTTGCAATTCATTCATTTTAAAATTATACGTTTCAGCTAATAACACAGAAAACAAAAAGTGTATTATACTCAGTGCTCTTGCCGTTTCAAAAATGCACTTAAATGTTTTAATTTATAGAAATATTTAAACCTCGAATGTAACCATTAGAATACTGAGAAAGCAATTTTTAGATTTTTTGGCGTTTATATAGAACATAATCTTCATTTTTCACATATACAGTAAATCCCATGTTTATCTTTGGGAGTACCTTGTTAATTTTGCTTCTTTCTTTTCATGAATTGGTTAGAGTGTGATAAAGTGAAATAAAGAACATTAATTTCTATATCAAAAAAACAGTGTAAAACATTGATAGTGATATATAAAACATTGGATAAAAAAAATCTTTAATGATTAGCGGTTGGATGAGATTTTTATCAAACTCGCCGAGGTTCGGAGATAAAAACTCACAACGAGTTTGAAAAAAATAAACTGATTTAATTTGATCTTTTTTAACATCCAACCTGAAAGTGTCAATGGATGAATTTGACTTTCATCCAATTACGGACAAAGAGGATTTTAAAGAAATATATTTACATGAATGAAGAATAAAAGGTCAAATGTTAATGCTTACATACAGTTTTGGTTTCTTTCACAACTGAGTGGAGTTAATATGTCCATTTAGCATTTTTTATTCATCTCTGCGAGCATTTGTTCGTTGTATTTCTATATATGAGTTAGGGTTAGGGTTAGGCATGCATTTAGGATACATATTGTTGATTTCAATCAAGGGAAGGTACAATCATTTAAATGTATCCTAAATGCATGTAACATGATATAGAAAGATGTGAATTGTACTCCAACTGGTGCATATTTTGTTTACAACACACGCTCTCTCAACGACTGTATGTATATATTCCCTAACCCGCTGCGATGGAATATTAACATATACATGTATGTTAGGTGTCAAGTGATACCACACAATACATTTACATATTTATTTGCCTAAAGTTGTACGATTTAAAAAAGGTCTACGTTAAGTTTCAGTTTGTTAAATTGTCATCTTAAAAAATTTTATATTAACTTACTTTAAAAAGGCTACCTTTTTTCTTTTGTAACTTAATCAAGCTTAATAATGTTGGCAGAAAACAAAAATGTACAAGAAATATCTTTTTCCAAAGCAAAATTAAGGATAAAGACAGGCGAGACGTTCATTCACTTTCCATCAGGAAAAGAACGACAACTCTCGGCATAGACAAAAGCGACTCACGCCCTCCGATTATAATATGCGACAAAATTCGTCATAATTCAAGGTATTATATTTGTTTCCCTGCATGAAGAATCTAACAAACTGATATTTTTGAAAGTATTCGAGAAGCAGCGATTCTTGATTTAAACAATTTATTTATTATCAAATTTACATACATTAATTAAATTCCACAATTCGAAGAAAACGAAAGTAGGCAATTTTATATAATGTTTACTATTTTGTTAACCTGGTTTCCAGCGATGTTAACGTGATTGTGTTATAATGTGTTATCATTCTTAAAAAAATATCAAGCAGATCATTCATGTATATTATGTTTTTATTATTAAACAAATATTGCTTTAACTGGCAGATGACCTGCTTATAACATTTTAATGGAGTATAATGTTAAAGAATGTAAATCTAAATGGTTAATATATTATAAGTATTCGTTCCTATTATAGAATTTTTGAGCTATTGGGTTATGGACCCCTGTACCAGTGCCCAGGACGTGATGCGATGTTGCCTGTGTGAGATTGCTGTGGCACAAATGCACTGTGTTGGAGAACACTTTTCTTCTGATCTCTCAAAACCTCATAAAATTGTTGATTTCAAGGCTAGGAAGTCTACTTTGGTTTACCCTAAATGCACGTCACATGAAGTGGAAACATGTGAAATGTACTGTACTCAATGTGACATTCCTGTCTGTAACACTTGCATTGCTTCCGATCAACACTTAAGTCATAAATTTGTGAAAATATTAGACGTTGTGAGTACAAGAAAAGGAAAGATAATTAGGGAACGTACAGAATTGAATGAAACAATCCATCCAACTTACAAGGGCATTGCAAGTGATGTAGAAAAGAGATTAAATCAAGTACAAGAGGAATATGAAAATCTCCTGGCAGCAATAACAAAACACTAGGAAATTTGGCATAAAGAAATTACTGAACTGGTCAATAAACTTAAATCTAGAACTGATGAAATTAAAAAGAAACAGTTAGAAACTCTGCAGAAACATTTTGATGAAATAAAGCAGAAAATCTCCGACATCCAGGATGATATCAATTCAATCGATGATGCTTTAAATTCCACAAATATTTCTGAGGTGTTCAGTTTTTTGTCTCCAGTGGATAGATACGGAAAACTTCCAAAGAAAATCGTATTTGATGTCCCCGAATTTTCTCCCAGTAAAATACAGGAAGATCAATTGTATAAATTTATGCCTGGTGTTTTAGAAGAGGATGAATACAAATTTATCATGACAAAATCAGAGTCACCAGAAGTTGGATCCTCTCCTCCAGTCAAACAGCTGCTTGATCAACCAGAGACTGTCACCACTATAGACACTGGGTATAGAGGTTACCTTTTCAATGTGGCCTGTCTGAGTGATGAAGAAATCTGGACAAGTGGAAATGACATCACAATAAAACTCTACAGCATCAGTCAGGGATCACTACTCAAGTCAATCGAAACCAAGTCAGGGGACATACCAAATGACATAGCAGTGACAAAAAGTGGAGATCTAGTTTATACTGGTTTATGTGAGAAAACTGTTAACATGGTGAAGAATGAGAAGATAGAGGAGGTGATCAGACTACAGAACTGGATACCTAGCGGTGTTTGTATAACCCACCATGGGGACCTGTTAGTTACTATGTATGATGATTACAAGCGATCCAAGGTTGTCCGTTATTCTGGATCCACAGTAAAACAAACCATTCAGTTTGATGAGATGGGTAAACCTCTCTTTTCATTTGGTACTTGTGGTTATTCTATCTGTGAGAACAGAAACCTGGATATCTGTATTTCTGAAGATAAGGCAATAGTGGTGGTCAACCAGGCCAGGAAACTGAGATTCAGGTACACTGGACATACTCCTGCTCCAAAGAACCAACCATTCAGTCCACTAGGAATCACCACAGACAGTCAGAGTCACATCCTTACAGCTGATTTAAACAATGACTGTGTCCACATCATTGACCAAGATGGACAGTTCCTCCGTTACATAAACTGTGGACTGGATGAACCCTGGGGACTGTTTACAGATACAAATGACAAATCTGTTTGTTGCTCTAAGGAGTAACAGACAAGTGATGAAAATCAAATATCTCATGTGATTTCCAGATAACCAAAATTTAAAAAAAAAAAACAGTTATACAAGAAATATAATGCATGACAATAACTATAGAATTTGCTGTATTAGCTTACCTGAAGGCAAAATTTATAATGTTTCAAAAGCATATTTACTGTACGTAAATATTGTTTATAGTTATTAAATTTTTCGAACAACATAAATCAGAGAACTTGTTTATCCCGTTATAGGAAACTCTGAGAAGGATTATCAGATTGGGGGTCCAATCACCCCTCCGCCCTACCCCGTTTTGCAGAATTATAAAATGTACATGTATGTACTGAAGTCAATAAAGGGCTATCGGGACCACAGGGAGTTATGGTATAGATATTGTTCTGGTAATCTGAAACTCAAAAGCTTCTTGAGATTTCACCCGAAATTGAAAGGTTTACGCACAGACTGAAAATATTAATGAACAATTTTGACCTTCGACCTTTTGACCATTAAATCATTAGGTATCTTCCTTATGCCATAGGAAAGTGTGGTTCAAAATAGCATTGCAGAGGCTCAAAGGCTTTACAAGGAAACTAACGTGTTAAAGAGACTTTTTTAATCCATGACCTTGACCTGTTGACCTGAGAACCAATAAGATTCTTTCGTAGTCCACGGGGAGTTGTTATGTTAATTTTCACTGCAAAAGCTCTGATATCATTATATGATATCGCGTGGATACGAAAGAGTTACAGACAGACAGACAGATTGACAGCTAAACGGAATGACAGACAGAAATGAATATCCTCCACTTTCAGCGGGGAACAAAAAAAAAATTGGCAGTGCACCTACCTTTTTCTTTCTATTTCCTTATACTTTTATCTCACTTTTGATGACCCCTGGAAAATATTTGTTTAAAGTATTACAAATATCTAATTTGAAAATTCGGGTTTTATGGTTTCAGAAAAAAGTAAAATTTCATCATTTTGTCTCATGTTTTTGCTGTGGCTTAGATGGGTTTTTTTTATCATGAATATTTAAAAGGATGGACGTAAGTGCACAAAGTGTCGAAATCAATGTTTCAGATCTAGAGAGATTGCTGAATTGGAAAGTCCACTTCAAAAGGTTTTTAAAAAAAAAAATATCAATTTTTTTTCACGCTAATAAGAATACCTGCATAATAAGAATATATTAACATCCACAAAATATTTTTCCTTTATTTCTGACCGGTCACGGTAGCCTAAATCATGAAATTATAGTATAATCTGTCAAATGCTTTAAAAAAAATATAAATAAAATGACAGGTAATTTGCAATAAATAACGTTAACTGTCTAATTCATATAAACTTTAATAGATATCTATTCTCTAACAATCATACATGATATATGAAAAGTAAAATTAATGTATCACATACTTACATTTAATTTTAAAACTCATTTTAGTGTGCCGTAGTAAATTTTTCCTTTACAAAATCGTCTAGATTATTTGAATAATCCTCCTTTTTTTAGATACAATGTAATTCATTTGAAATGAAAACTAAAAATTATTACCATTTAGCTTCAAATATAGCAATTTTTATGTTGCAATTCATTCATTTTAAAATGTTCCGTTTCATCTAATAACACAGAAAACAGAGAGTATACCCGGTTGCTCTTGCCGTCTCAAAAATGCAATTAAAACGTTTCAATTTATAGAAATATTTAAACCTCCAATGTAACCATTAGAATACTGAGAAAGCAATTAAAGAGATTGGCGTTTAAAGAACATAATCTTCACCACAGTAAAATGATCTTTGGGAGAACCTTGTTAATTTTGCTTTTCACGGATTGGTTACAAGTGTTAGAACCTGTCTGATAATCTCCGGTAGACAGAGATAGGACTGTTTATATAAATAAGTGGTCTTATCGTAAGAGATTATCATTGTACTGTATTGATGCGACCACCCCAGGCGCAACCTGCCTCTTGACAATACAATATCGATATAAGTGGTCAGTGTTGTTTTATTTTCTTTAAGGATTACTTAGATTTTTTTCTTGTGACAATGGACGTGTTTTATTTATTCTGAGATTTAGGTTTCAACTGACTTTTACGAAACAAAGTTATAAACAAAATGTGACTTCCAATGTTCGGTTAAGGATTTCTTTTGTAACAATGGTGGATGTGAGCGGTGCTAAATATTTTGATGCCATTTCTAACAATAAACGACAGGAGTACAAACTGAAGGAAGCTGAACACAAAATAAACGATTCTAAAAGACGGATGCTTCTGAGATATTGGAAAGACAAATATGACTTAATGAACGATCTGGTTCTACTTCACGTAAAAACTCCAAAGTTTGTGCCGCCGGACAAAATAAATTCAATGACGTCATTACCTTCCCATGGAACACGAATAGAGATACACAACGTCTGTCTGGACAGCAAATTTCTCACAAACAAACCCACCACCACGGGCCGGAAACGAGCCGTCTTCACTTCCGCTCCCGTGATTGATATTCAAGGAGAGGATGCGGTGTGTTATCCTAACAAACAAGCCAAGCACGGACGAACCGTACATATGAATTATCCGCTCAGGAGACGGCTTGAGGTCGCGAGAAATCTAGAAAAATCTCTGATCTCTCTAGAACTGCGGAAGGACTTCCGGTCTCAACCCGCGGAGAAATACGACAGGAACGTGGGATGGAGTGCGCTGCGTCCGAAAACGACCGGAAAACTGAGAAAACGGGGTGAATTTGTGAGTGATTTGTCGTCATACAAAAGGGCGGAAACTTCATTAGGATTTTCTCTAGAACGTGGCTCTTCTATGTGAATATTAATATTTTATGGTTGTGTTCTGGAATAGACATGACTAAAAAAATGTGAAAATATGTTAATTTTGGAAGGGAATGGAAACTTTATTCAGTTGAAAAGAATTAAATTATTTGTTTTGGATCATAATCTGTCCTTGGCTAGCATTAACAAACATAACCTGACTTTTATTATTTCACTGGCCTCCCCTTTTCATGATCAATTTGTAGGCCCACTTTAGTGTATCTGTTGGCGTCTTGCTATGATATTTTTAAAATTGTGTTACTCATTTATGGAAAAATGGTGCTATAATCATTTTAGACCAGTGACTTTTCAGATACGGAATATTTGTGCGATTAATTTCTTGTATCATTAGAAGATAAAACGGGACCAAAGTGTCTTCTTTTATCCTTTTGAAAAATGTACCTTGAGTGCCTTGTCCTAGCAAATATAACTCAAGTGTCGCATATAATGAAATAAGGAAAGGCACAGCATGGTTTTCAAATTAATTGTCCATTATTAATAAATGAAGAATATTGATGAATTATTAATACCGAGCTTTACAAACACACTCTGACTTCAGATATCGAGATTAAATCTAGACAAAATGGAATTCATGTTGTGACAGGTAAACGTCTAATTTGTTCCTTTTCATTATATTAGGTCTATTCAATTAACAAATAATTAATTTCACGATGGGAGGCGTATTCGTATTGGTTCATTTTAAGAATTATTCTATCCTGGATTAAAGATATATTAAAAACTTTTTTTTTTCTCTCTCTCTTATTTGAAGGATACATATAATTATAACTAACGGAGATAAACACGTGTAATTGATCTTGGTTTTAAATCACCGAGTATAGAGAAAAATATTAACTGAAAGGCACTTAAATCTTATTTTATATCCGGTTTCAAAATATTTAAAATCCCTGATAATGTCAGGTATAACTTTTTTAGGAGCAATTCAATTTTTGATACTCAATTTCAAAATAACTTACTGTTTAATTTTCCGCTACAGTTAAAAATCACCTGTGGTGGTTAAAATTCCGATAAATAAAAAGATACATGTACAGGTATTTTTCTTTACACTTAAATGTAAGTTTTTCTTAACAGTTTATTCATATCAATCAAAGGGATTGGAAACGAGTTCTATATAATTTAGTAAATTCCTTTCCTTATACATGTATAATATAATGTGGGATGCAAAAAGAAAAATAATACAATTGATACATGAAAAAAGGATACAATATAATGTAATGTACATGTAAGGTTGTCCTACTGCCTGTAACATTATTTGTATATACATTGTATACTGGGTTTTGTCATGAAAGAATATCATATATTTTTATATAATGCAATATTTACATGTGACTTTGTCAATAAATTATAAAGTTGATATAATTACGTTGGTTATTTTTTTCTTAAAATATTTAATCGGTTTTTCAACTTTTTTTTTGTTAAATTCCCCATTTGCTTTGATGCGAGGAATTCATCACAATTTCATATTAAGAACGTTAACGTAGCAAAGTGAGAAGAATGTGCAGAATGAAAAAGTTTATGTGACATGTGGCACTTGTCTTCTCTCGAGCAGTTTTTGCCACCGGACGTTCTTGGTCTGATAAGACAGTTATAGATAGAGGTGAGATAAGTGTCCTTGACTTGAAGAACAATGGCGGTGAAAGCCCCTCATCAAAATCTCCGTAAAATTCTCACCCAGCTCGCAACCGGACTACCCGAGTCCGCCCAGGTAGGTCAAAGGTCAACATATATTTTGATTTGAAAGAATAATGAACGGTATTCATACATCTTTATACTTTATAAATTTTTATCAGTCGGTCATTTCCTTATCAGTTATATTAGCAAATTATTCAGTACAATTGAAACATGATTATATAATTTTTTTTAGTGACTTTCGATTCGAATCAATTTAACATTAATTCCCATAAATGATTTCCAAACAAGTTATTGGGTTTGATCACTAAGGAATGAATATAATTTTGTGCTATAAAACTCCACTCATATATTTCGTTTCAGATGTATGGCATGGTCAGAAGTTTTATCCGAGGTATTCCAAGTGGCTTGGAATTGTGGGTAGACAATTTAAATCTGCCTCAGGTTTTCATCGTCAGCGCTAGTCAAACTAAGAGTAAGGTTTGTTTAAAATCACATAATTGAATCTTTAATCAAGATTTATGTTAAGTTGTGCATTTAGATAGTTAAATATTAAAATCATAGCTCAGATATTATTATAATTTTCCGAGTCATTTCACTTACTTCCGGGCCATTCACCTCGTTGTCATACCACTGCACTTCCGGAAATTTTACTTTACTTCCCTGTTATTCTTAACAACAGATATACAATTTAGGTGGCCACATAATTTACATTTATCATTTTGTAGAGGTTTCATATATTTCAAACATTATGTATTTAATAAAGACTTAATATGAAGACTTAAAATGAAGACTTCCTTTTCTGAAAGTTATATTAAAATTTACAAAAAAAAATTAAATGTTAATTATGTTTTCATCATTAACAAGAGTTTTGCAAGAACACGTTGGGTTTACCAAACAATTTTGGTAAATCCTAGTATATTTTAGCAATGCATTGTAAAAGGGCCATAATAAGACTAGAAATTTATTAATGATACATGTATTACCGCATCTCTTCTCAAAATTGTACTTCATTAGATATATAGGGCATGTTTTTAACGTTCAATTAAGCAAATTGAGAATTTCATTCTAGTTTTGTTTTCTTTATTTTCCAGAATATATACTGTGGATCATTGGTCAACGTTCACTGTACGAACCATAACAACCTTCGTGACGTCATTCTGTCTCCCGGCGTACTCAATTTAAATCAGGAATTGTTTTTTCGAGGTTACTGGACACTAAAACTGATTTATTTAATCAAAATAGGCTGTGATGTTTTCAAATATGCATCTCTTTATATAATTGTCCAATTTTTTCCGATTCTATGATTTAGGGGTGAATGCGAGAACGTTGATGGTCTTGGAAGACATTTTTCCGTCCGGAAGTTTCCGTGACGTAAGCGTCCCAGGAACCACCCAGCTGTATTTTACATCGAAAGAAGAAGAAATTTTGAAAATGCAAGTAATTGTATCTGTAACATATCAGAAAATATTCAAGTTGAAATCAATGCACCAATTTTTCAGGTATTACCCTTTTGTATTGTTTAATATAACTGTTAGCCCTGTAAATACTAGTATTTTGCTTGACTTCGTAATTTTCCGTTTTTAGAGATGTTCCTGACGGCTTCTATGTGGGTCCATTTAATGAGAGAGTGTCCAGGAGAATTGAGGAAGTTTGGAAATTTACCCCACAGGGCATCAGTCAGATGAAGTTAGACGAACAAACGTGGGGATTTCCGGGATATGCAGTATATCACGTGCCTTCCGGAAATCTTGCCGGATGGGCCGTACAGAACATTGATGGAATTATGGGACATTTATTTGTGGAAGAAAAGTATCGCAGAAGAGGTGTCGCCAAATTTCTGACTTCAGTGCTCGCCAGGAGTGTGATAAAACAAGATGGTTTTGCGGCGGCGGAAATCGTGAAAAACAACGCCATGTCTAAGAATGTAACTAGTTATGTGGGACTAGCGGAAGTGAAAGGTCCAGAGTTTGATTGTAGAATGTTTAAAGTTAACCCTAATGGTAACTTCCCGGGATGATCTGAGAACTGATTTATCTAAAATTCTTACAAGTTTTGCTAATCCCTTTATTTTACTGATTTCGACGAAAGGAAGCTTATACTGAGTTAATTGGGAACGTATTGTACTGTAAAATTTGACCATATATTGCAAAAAAAAAAATTTAAATGTTACATGTAATCCCTGCTCGAATTATCTCTCTTATCATAAGATTGCAAAACCTTAACAGTGATTGACTGATGATAATAAAAGCAGACGTAGGTTAACCTGATGTACCTTCTAAATGTTATTTGAGTATATTTTATGCCCCTCCCTCTTCGAAGAAGGGAGGGCATATTACTTTGCTGTTGTCTGTCGGTCGGTCCACCATCAGTTTTTTTGTTATTTTCTTCGCAGAGGTTGCACATATTGAAATGAAAATTGGTATACAGATTTCTCGTAAGAATATCTAGGTCAAGTTTTATTTTGGGGGCATTAGTGTTTTACAAACATTTCTTGTTTATTTAAATTCCTATCACGAATTTCAACAATAAAGATAAACAATTTAATTCACCATCATTTACAATTATTTTATCTATACATCTGTACATGTTATACAACGTAAGGCTCCCAATCTTTTATTTATAAAATGGAAGGGTTTCAACTTTTATGTTTATGAAAATTTCACAAGCAGGCCGGGAAGGAAATAGTTTTTTTTATTCCCCCGCTTGAAAAGTGGGAGGGTATATAGTAATCGTTATGTCCGTCCGTCCATCTGTTACGCTTTGGGGTACCCATCTCATATCCGCAACTCCTCTTATACTACTGAGTGAATTCTAATGAAACTTTCACAGAATCTTTATTACATATTGCCATTGTGCACCTCCTATTTTACTTTTTGATCCGACACGTATTTTAGGTTTCCCATAGCAAAACATGGACATTGCCTTTATATTCTTACCTTTGACGTCACATATGCCGGCTTCTGAATAACATTTGATACGAGTTATCCCTCTTTACACATTCCCGTAAATTAATATATATGGCAAAACCTGGACATTATGGGAGGCGGGGGGGGGGGGGGGTATCATTTAGTGAGCTCATTGCTCACAGTACCTCTAGTTTTATCTATACTCTGAGCGACATCTTGATTTTCCTGATGAATTAATTACATCAAAAGATTCTTTGCAAACTGAAATAAATAATTTAGATTATCTATACATGCAAATATTGCTAATTGCATATGTTGTCAATCAATGGTCACTGAATATATCTTTTACTACAAGAATTCGAAGTTCTTTACTTGTAATTTTGTAGAGCAAAAAATCCAAAACTTGAAACTACGGCGTAAGGTATAAACAATTTTTTTTTTTTAAATTTACCATGAAACTAAAATTTTACAACATATCATTTATATCAGCCATTCCAAAAAACAAGAAAAAAGGACCCTTCAAACTTAATATATTGTCAGTTGTTTATTAAGAACATATTGACGCAAAATAAGAAGTACTGAAAAATAAAGTGTGTACCACATTGCGTCATGTATTTTGACTCATTTAAGTAGTTTTCATTTCCAGTTTTTTACCCCTTCGTTTTTTGGTTTTTTTTTTTTATTTTGAATTGAGTTATTCGGTAAAATTTATTTCAAGATTCACATTGTATAGAAAGAACGATAACTTGTACATCATGCAATGTTAGTTATTCAATAAATCGAAGTTCAAGAGTCAAGTTCCTAGCCTTTGGTCCCGCCATTTGCATGTTTTAATTTCCAACCAAAAAAAAATTCTTCTTGAGACTTATCTGATGTATGTGACTGTAAGTTTCTGACTGAATGTAATTAATTCTTATTGGAATAAAGTACAAGTTATCCCTCGAACATAAAAGCTGGTAAATATGTATCATTTACCAAAAGCTTAAAAAAATAAATAAACGTTTACAATACGAAGAATATAATTATGTCATACGTGCCATAAACAAATCTTATTTTAAAATTTCAAATATCTATTATCAAGATTTTTTTTGATCGTGCACATGCGTTGTTTTCGTTTGAAGGATTACCGAGGCCTCTAAACTTCAATTTAATTGGTTTTATTTTAAATTTTCCCGTGGAATTTAAAGTTTGAATTTATAATGATCAGCATTACTTTGGCTATGAAGGAAAAAAATCATTAAAATAACCGATTTTATCATTTTAAAAATCCTTTAATAACTCGATACATTTCATTTTCCTAATAAATTAATATTTTATAAAATAAAACATATCTATTCGTCCCATTTAACTGTATGAAAATGAATTTTTTTTTTTTAAATTAATGCTGTGAGTGTTCTCTTCAACACTTTAATTAAGAAAATAAAATATTTTGGGTTTTTTCTTCAAAAATAATTCCATATTTGTTGGAAATTTACATAAGAAGAGGTCTTTTTAATCACCTCGCAACAGAGGGGAAGTAATTAAGCAATCATGTTGAATATATACGTGTCTGTTTGTAGGTGAGTGGGTCGATCCTGTGTGGAACGGAAGTGACGTAAATTGCATCGAGATCGATGTCCTCTTTGCAAAGGGATGCTCCGCTTTGCTGTAACCTTGATAATTATATAATTTAATATAACCACTTAAAATATTTTGTTCTCAAAATGCATATTATAAATAATAATCTTTTATCTAAAACAAAAGAAAAATAATTAAGAAAACGAATTTTAAAAAAAACCTAAAGTGCCGAGTATTTTCTCATTTGTCCTACATCTGTATATATATAAAATTAAGTTAATTCCTCCGTAGAGATGGATTTTGTAAAGGTGTATACCTGTCGAAACGTCAAGTTACCTCGTATAGGAGTACAAGTACATCTGTATCATTTGTAAATATACGTAAGTTTTATTAAATTAATCAACTGTTCTTGATAAAGGTTCTGTAGAGGTGAGAGACATGGGTAAAGGAAAAAATACACCTGTATTATTGGTAATTACGTAACTTTTATATTAATTAATCAACTGTTAAATCCTTTCTTGTCCGTTTTGATAAAGATTCTGTAAAGGCGAGAGACATAGGGAAAATGTACATGGTGTATTGTGAATCGTATCTTATTATGGTGTAAATCTTATTAATTAACAAAAAAATTAAAAGTGCATCGCTGTTAATTTAATCATGTTACTTACATGTGTCTTAAGCTTATATTGTATTTCGTGAAATATGTCACTAATGTTCCGAGTAATTAAGGTATAATATCCCTCTGCTTCAAATTTCACATTTTTTATCTAATTCCAAACATTGATTTTCATCAACAACAATAGCATTAGATTCAAATGGAATTTAATAGTTTGCAGTATGAAGCGTTGCTAACTTTTTTTCCAGAAATGAATAATATGACTAATCGTGATGTTAAGAAACTTTGGTATGGTCAATAATTTTTCATCTCACAATAAAAGTATAAATATGAGGTATTTATGAAAATAATATTTACCATCATATCTATATAATTCTTAGTAGATAAAAAATTATGAGGCGTTGTTTTTTAAATCAGAATATCAAATTGTTTTCTGTAGTTGTAAAATAATATGCATCCATCAACAAGATTTATCTTTCCATTATCGTTCTTGAAAATATTTTTAGCGAAACAAGTCAAAATATTTATTAAATGTCTATAAACAATTCTGGATATTAAATTTCTTTAACAATTAAATGACGTATATATACATTACGAAAAAAGAAATATCTGAATAACACAGTTTAAAGGAACTAAGCATAAATGATTTAGTTAAACTATTATAAATAATAATTAATGAAATACTGGCAATGGAAACCACAAAAATATTATTTAATAATTATCCATATTTTCTGAAAATATAAAAGATAAATTTTGTGTTTTATGTCTCCATTAGCGACTACTGGACGAAATGAAGAAATATGCAGTTTTCAAAACACAATCAGAAACTATCCGCTCAGTTCTAATGCACCAAATTCCCTTTTAGTGAGCTTTTATTGTCACCAGTATTATGTACACTGTAGATTTAGTGCACCAAAGTTCTCCTGTACCGAGCAGTTATTGTCACTAAAAGAGGTTCATTAATCTCATCCTCATCGGCCGCCATTTTCTGTTTGTATAGCTGCCAAACTTCCGGTATTGTTCTCTTGTTTTGAGCATTGACCTTGAACTCCGATAGGTCAAGATCATCAGACATAGAGAGCTTACCCGCGTTCGATCTCGTGTCCTCTTGGAATAGGGTCCTGTTAATATTTTTGTTCAAGCTAACAGCGCCAGTATTTGTCAGGGATGGAAGAGAAATTGTTTCTGAACGCGTCGTATCAGTTTTCGCTGTACTTGGAATGCTTGAACCAAGAGTGTCCTGTTTGATTAATTCCTTACAAGGTTCTGAAGAATTTCCGAGAATTTTCTCCAAGTTCTGTGTAGTGTCTGAATCTTTGAAATGCACCCGCGATCTCTGGAGTAATTCCTCGTTATTTTTCCTAACATTTCGGAGTAAAATTTCTTTTTCCACTTTTCGTCGTTGTTGTTTCTCATACAATTTACACAGTGATTTTGTAACATTGTTCACTTTTCTCACAAACATATTTGACTTACTGCGTGATAGCTGTAGATCCCCCGTCTCCAGAGAACTGGTGCCGGAAACTTGTGATGATGAACCAGAGAAGCGGGAAGGCGCAGCAGACGTACAAATGGAGGGGTACGCAGACGACAGCGTGCTGGGACTAGCGATGCTGAAGGTTTGGGATCTTCGGAGCGACCCGTGTCTCGGTCCGTTTCTTAGTGAGGCCGAGCGAAGATTGATGTCCGCCAGTTGGTACCGGACGCATTTCTCCTCAAGGTTCAGTCTTCGGAGGTTGATTTCTTGTGCCTTATTGAGATACCTGTTAAATTCGTCCAGTTGGCGCTTTTCGCGCGCATTTCTTTGCCTCGTTTTGAAAAGTTCCTGGACGTCTAGAGCGGTATAAGCATTGCTGATGCTGAAATCGTGATAAAGGTGTCCAAGAGTCGGGTTAATTGTCATCATACAAACAAAAAATGCAAAATTCCAACAATGAAAATATATTTTTAACGTCTGCTCCGAAGCCAAGACTGTTTACCAAAATAAACAGGAGATCGTGTTGTGTCTTTCCATTAGATGTATGTATCCCGTTGTTTGTTTTCACTCGTTAAGTTTTTCGCACCTTTGTTAGATGTTATCTTCAGAGCGAGTATCTCGGAACCTAGATCACTTTAATGGAATTCCCTTTATTAACTGAAAATTCAAAACAATTTGACTTATCCTTTTGAATTGTGCACTTAAACATAAAAGGATCCAAAATGAAAAAAAGGACCTCGCTACACCTCTGTGATATCCCCACAGCTTTTATCCATCAGTGTCACGCTCGAACGTTTTAAAGATTTTTAAATGATTAACAAATATTGCATTGTTACGCTTGGTCCCTTCGGAAGCATATTCGAGAGTGAATTTTTCCAAACATTGTGTTAACACACGCCGGCTCTTGGAAGGAACTCTAATTCTGGCGGCAAACAAGAAAATTTGTTGACACAATAAACAGTGTGTAATTGTCAGAGCGGTCTAACTCTGGCGGGTGAGGGGGTCCCCTCAATCACCGCGTACCCAGGGCAGGATTTTCTACGTCATCGGGCCCTCTATAATTTTCTCCGCTCTCTTCAAGCTGTTGGCCTTTTGTCTTAAGTCAAAAGTTTTTTAAACAAAACATATACTTGTTCTATTAAGAAATACTTAAAGTTGTTCAAAAAAGTGTACAAGGCGGCACGACTTCCATGTTCGCAGTCTACACATCCACTTAACAGGGGGTAAAAAACTGTGAAATACGACGGCAGGTCTTTATCTAGAAACCATTAAATTACGTTTGCATTAAGTTAGTAGATCCAATATTGCATTTCTGTGAATGCTGAAAATTTTAATAAAAAAAGATAAAATTGGCCCGCGCTGCCATTTGAAGAGTTCTGCAAATACGACGTGGTTATTTAGAGTGCGGAAGTCAACGGGGGGATTAGTGTGTTCTGTACACGAAATGACAATGTCAACAGCGGAAGGGAACCACTTAACAAAAAATGACATGGCAGAGTCGCCGAGGGACGGTCAATTAAAAGCCTCGAGGGCTCTCAAATTTCCCTTTTTTTACAATTAAAGATGTCAATTTTATCTCAACTTACACAAATGTTGCAACTCAAAGATAAACATGAATTTTAAAACAAACTGGCGGTTTTCCAACATAAAAAGGCATATTTTGAAGGATTCTTCTACTTCAGCTTTTGTTATTTTCTTAAACTTTAATGAATACTTTTAATGCATAGGAATAAAAAAAATTTAAAAATACCTTTATGTAATAATGCGAGATAGCACAGGTGAGGTTAAAAACCCTGCATGTCATGTTACGATTTTTTTAAATTTATGTCATGATCTTAAGATGTGTAGAAAGAATTTTTATCACTTAACTGATAAAGCTATCCTTCCACAACGAAACACAAAAAGACAAAATATTGCGCAGATCTGACACTGAAGAAAAATACTTTTTTTTGTTCAATGTTCCAATAAGATGGGGAGTGAAACATTATTTGCTAATTGATAAATCACTTTTAATCATTTATGCGTCAGTATATTTGGAATTATATTTGAAATGGTACTTTTGAAATATGTTAAAAATATGGTTATATATGTACATACAAGGAATACAATACTTTTGTTGCTTAAAGAATTAGTTCTTCCAAATAAAAGGTAACATAATTTTGCAGAATTTACGAATTCTTTCCCTATTTAGTAAATTTATCAATTCAGAAGGAACACAGCAGCCTTTTGGGAGAAACATTAAATTCATAATAAAAATTCCGTATTTTAGGAATCTTGTCTAAAGAATATGTAATGCAGTTTTTTTTAAATTCTTACTGATAAAATTGTACGCCTTATGCTCTTTACATTTTCTGCAAAATTTCTTCCCATCAAGACAAGTTTTTAAAGGGAAAGCCGTGGTAGAACTGGTTTATTTATGCTGAAACACTCCGTACTTAGTAAAGCAGTCTGTGTCTACATGCTCGGTGCAAATTTACAAAACTAAAGAAATAAGTTATAGATATTTTAAATAAAAAAATATAAAAACAAAGGGTTTTCAGTGCCCTATTCCACATGGGCCTCGTACACCTATACTCATCTAAAGAAGCGCACGTGTTGACCGATGTCTAGGCTTTGTCTATATAATTCCTCTCCTTTACTAGAAATAACAGTAGCGCCTAACAATACATATTCCTAACATCATAAGTATACAATACCTATAAATCATGGTAACCAATATACCATTTATACTTCTCATTGAACACGGAATAGAATTAAAGGAATCATGTTAATCATTAATACATGTACAGCATTATAAATTTGTTGGGTTTTGTATCTTTACATGAAATTTCTTTAAATTGATATAAGTATAACAAGACAAATTATATTTAAAAATGTGTCTTTTCATATAACTCATATTAAAAAGAAATAATAAAGGCAATATGACAATATTACATGTATGGTTTGACAAGATCGTCTTGGGAAACAGTAAAAGTGTTGACCATCTACACTACAGTACTTAAAAATATTTTGAAGTTAACCTATCAGGTAACTCTTCATATTTTATTACTTTGCTATTTATGGTAAATATTTTGACAAAACGTGACCAGGAAAACTGTTGACTTTGAGTTTCAGCTTCTGGCTATTAAATTAAAAACAAATGTTCTTTCCCGTCATCGTAGGACAACAGTGTGACATTAATGTATAAACATGATATAGATTAAAGAAATGAATATCGTAGATCTATGGTGTTTTTGTTGAAAATTATATTTAGCTACATTTTTACAAATACATGACAGGTTAAACACATTTTTGTTGTATGTTGGTTTATAAGCCTTATGTTTGTTATCTTGAAGTCACATCAAATATCAAACATAAAAAATCCTCAACTCTTTTGATCAGAAAACATTTATTATGGACGGAATCATTGATGATAAATAAACCGGAAATGTACAAAGTCACGTGACATCGATTTCCAGCCTGAACGTAGCTAAACATTGTCACGTCCTATTAATAATTTTATGACAGTCTTGACATGAATTCGAAGTCAATCGATAGAGAGTAATAACTGTTTCGTCACACTCTAGAAATCCCTGAGTATAACTCAATCACTGTATCAGATAGTTAAATACTTTTATGAGCATTTTATTTGGAATTTGTCATAATTCCTAAAATATTGATGACATCTCGCTCACGTCACGCTCACATCTCGTTCTTCTGATTTCGGCCCCGGCGGATACCTTCCTGGAATCTGGCCTTTAAGTAGTCAAACACGTGCGTCCACGCACGTGCAATATCGGGAGTAAAATCGTCTTCTAACTTTTCTTTAAAGGTATCCCTAATGGCGGGCCATAAAAGCTACAAGTAAGAAATCATGAAAACAGTGTTCAGCATTGACAGTTCGCTAAATCGATTGTTCTATATAAATACATGTAAGACGGTCCATGTTATCTCTCAACCAAACACAGAAAAAAGACAAAACCATGTCCCTAGAAATGTACATGTATCTTAATTCGTTTACAAAACGTTGATGAATGATGGATTTATTTAATTTTTAATTCTTTTTGACTGATTTTGAATGGAAATTTCATAAATAATCAATCCCAAAAATATAAAGAAATCCTTATTTTTCGTTTATTCTTATATTATATGCGACTTTGTATTGTTTCATGTAATTCTTAACAAAATTTTGCACATATTTTCGACATTGTGACAAAACATTACAAAATTCTCCCACTTTACCCAGAAAATATCATGCAGATTATATAATATTTAAATATTAATCCATCAGAAATATTGCTGATATCTGAAAAAAAAGTTATTTGGCTTTAAAATGTTGAATATGTATATAATAGACATGTCGCATTTGAAAAAAATTATTTCAACTCTATTTTTTTTTTTAGTGAAACTAGAGAAATGAACGTACCTGTTTTAGGGAAAAGGTTATACACGTGTATATATAAATGTACTTTTTTTCCCTAATTATCAATCCGTAATCTGCGTTATAATTTTTTGCTTCATGATGTCAGAAGGCACAAGTGCCCAACCCCGTCCCAATCTGTACTCAAAGGTTTCCTTAAATTGAGTTTTTAAAAATATTTCCTTTGACACATTAAAAAACATTAAAACAATTAACGAAATCTTTCTTACATGTATAACATAAATCTTACATTTATAAAACTCCATACTCAGCGATGGCAATTAAAAGAGAAAATTTTGAAGTGCAACTGATGTAGTTTTACGCCATATTTTGAGATGCCGTTTCATGTATTTGAATTGTAGGACCGGAAATCATCAGACAAAATGTTTTCGGTTTTATAAAATGGTTTTTCCACTGATGTTGAAATTGTTTCCTATTGAAAGTAAATTTCAAAGATATAATTGTTATCAGTTAACATTAAACTCAATAGACTTGATTATATTTTACAACTTTGAATGACTTTCACCGTCAATAATTAAAAGGAGAAATATATCCGTCAATATCAATGTTAACATTTCGACAAAAAATTAAAAACATGGAGGAGAATGGTGTAATAGGAAGATCAAGGAGGGGGTTTTCTGAGGATAGAAATAACAGAAGAGGAAATGACTCTCAATTAACCCATACAAGGTCGGTACGTTAGTAGCATGACTTACAATTACAAACTTACAAAACATCATTTCAGTAGAAATAAATAAGATACAATGAAGCAGGATAATTTCTTTAAAGTACTAATTTTTATTTTATGTAAGCCAAAAGTACAGGGAAATAATTCAGGTAACAATACAAATATGTGAATATATCAAACTCCTCAAGATGATTATAAAAGCACCCCAATTCTTGATATTTTATCACAGAAACTGATGGCAGATTGCAAATTTCAGACGCTGATAAGTTTTATTTCAACGCACATGTAAATGTATGTGTAACAATAATTTTTGTTTTAATTCTCTCGATTATAGCCATGTTTAAACTCTCCAAAAAAAATTTTTTTAAACAAGCTAATTCAGAGAATCTGTATTAATTCCGCGCCAAAGGAAAGAAAGAGCATGTGTGGATCTAAAAGGGGGGAGGCTTTAAGAAAAAAGGGAGGGTCCATAAGAAGTTTTGGTACAAAACTCAAAAGCTTCTTCAGATATGAAAGTTGGACTATGAACTAGGGCAGAATGTATCAATTTACGACCTTGACTTTTGACTTTTAAATTAACAATTGTGATCTAGGCCATACATAGAGAGTTGAAATGAAATTTTGGTGACAAAAGTTGTCATATATCAAAAAGTGTTAAAGTGTTAAAAAACAAAAAGAAATTTTTCATATATTGTTTTGATCTTTTGACCTCAAAATCTTTAGGGTCATCCTTAGGCCATGCATGGGGAGTTTTGTAAAATTTTAATGTTCAAACGTTTCTGGAGATATCAAGCGAAAAGGAAAGTGTTACAGACATAAATACAGCTAGACGGACGGACAGACAGACCCAAATTATATTCCCCACTTTCAGTGAAAGCGGGTGACAAAATCACCTACCCCGACCATTTCCGGTCTGACGTGATATCCGGCGTGGCGCTCGCCCATCAGGATCAGGATGTTGGTCAGTATAACGGAGTCCTCTAGACTCTCCACCGCCGCCCCCAGGCCGTCCATCACGATCCGTGAGTGTGTCTGTAACTTCTCGTCATCCAGCACCACCTCTCCGTCCGCCTCCAGTCGGGTCAGGTTGTGGAACAGCTTCTTAAGGTCCTTATTCTTCTCAAACAACCTGAGACAGTGTGTGAAATTCGATAGTATTTATAACGAATTAAGAATTTTTTTCTTTTCTCCTAAATTCCATTCAATTTTGTGTTAGTTATATATAACTTATTGGTGATATATGAACCTGTAACTATATGTAGTATATGTGTATTAATTAACCTTGTACCTGTGGAGAGGGCTTATATAGGCTATGCCTGCTGCCCAATCCGTTTATGCATTTCTTACATAATAAAATATGTTCAAATTAAATCAAATCGAATTAAGAATTAGTGTGTATATTTTTTTGGCATAAAAATCAATTTTGAGCTTCACACCTTGGTTAATGTTTTGGTCAACTGCACAAAAAAAAGGTATGTATTATTCTCTATTTATCAAACTAATTGTTTTCAGACTTTTTGGATATATAACAAAGTGAATTTTCAGGTCAAGGACGATGAAACTCAAAACCATGTTAATAGACTCTTAAAAATTGTCAGTCATATCTGATATGCGCTTGCAAACGACAGATGTTTGCAAAAGGGACAATTAAAAATAACAAAATATTTCTAAAATTAAGAGTCTTATCTATCAAATTGTTCACAGTTTATATGGTTTCTTTCTATTTAGAGGAGGTTTTGATGTTATAAGAAAGACGTCTACGAATATTTATAAATATTGTCACGAATATTTGAAAATCACTCGAGAACCCTTTCACACGAGGGTCCATTTCCTCGACACTTAGATTATAAACATACACGAATCTCAGTTATCGGTCCTTGGACATCTGTTCGTGTACCAAAGCTTTCAATACGAACACAACCAAAGGGCTCTTTTATTACACAGGTTTTAGCTACATGTAATTTATGGGAAACAAGAAAGATATATACAAGAAATACCGATAGAATTGCAGGAATTGAGGCTTTCCAAATCTTTTTGGACAAAATCAATTTCAAGATGTATTAGAATAATTTTTTTTTTCAGCGAGTATTAAAAAAATCAAAGACGAAACATTTGTAGATTTAATTCCAAATCAAAGGAAGAAAATTAAGAAACTTGTGTCATTGTAGAATAGATTTTGGCATTATTCTTCACCCTTCATTATACTGACATGGAATTAAAAATACAAGTTAAGCAGATATCTAACATACTGACGTTGACATTTGATAAAATTTTACAGACAATCTTTAATACTTCTTATCCACTCGCTTAGCGGTCGGAGGGGATATTGTAAATAAATACAGTTGTGTGTATGTGTGTGTGTTTGTTGGTGAGTGAATCGGTGCTGTGCGAAACGGAAGTGACGTAATTTGCATCAGGATCGATGTTCAATGCTGCTTTAATCAATAGATATGCTCTTTGTTAGAGGATGCCCAACCCAAACCCTTCCCCTTCCCATTTTAGAACACTTAATAGGCTCTCTGTGCATCATTTAAGCCCCCACCTCACTTTAAAGGACATTTTCCTATTCCCCTGTTTTCGTACCCCCCCCCCTCCTTCTTCCTGACACTTACTTGTGGAAGACCATCATCCCGGCTCCATTTAGATCCTGTCCTACGATTTTCCAGCTCTCCTTGACCAATCGGATGTCCTCGGGAGTTACGTATGTTTCCAGTTCCCTCTTTTCGAGGTTGACCTCTTCAATTCCTGAGAACGTACAGCCCATGGTTGTAGGTTTTTTCTTATAAACAAAAAGGACATTAGATTATTATTTGAAAGTAATTTAAAGTCAATACTGTATGGAAGGTTGACTATACCATAAATATCCGTTACAGTTCATATATATACAGGCAATATTGCATTTTAAAATTTTCAGTAAGCTTCAAGTTCAAGGTCATAAGCAGAAATTGTCAAGGTTGGTATTTGAAAAAAAATTATCAGGAGCTAGACCTGCAGTTCAGACATGTCATTTCTTTTCAAAGAATGTGGATGGTGATGTTTTTTCACAAATTAAGTTGAAAGGTCAAGGCCAAGTATACAAAATAAGTTACCTGATATTTGTTCAAAAGAAGTAAAAAAGAAACAGATAACATATGAGGCTACTATGACGAGACTTTTAACCCCATCCCATTCTGCCTGGTATAATAAACTATTTCCCTTCACTCAGAGGATTATTCTTATGGATTTGATACAGTGAAACATGTCCAGTACGTCATAACCACTGGGAGATTAAGTGTAAGAAGAGATGGGGTGTCCGATTACAAAGGGTAAAGAACACAGAAATCAGTAATATTGCAATGAAAATAAATGTGAGAATTTACAGTGCAACGAAATGTACGGGTTCCGGACTATACAGGTACTAATACAATAATGATATTTAATATGAATAATTATTAATACTAGTAAAAGAAATTACAGAAAACAGAGAGCTTTATTCAAATGCAGGTTCTATTTTTAAAAATGCGCAACAGTAAAAGTTTATTTCAACGGAAATTAAGGAAATATTTTAATTTTAGAAATATAATATAATATACTTTGAAAATATTTTCAAGACAGTAAATAAAACTTTTTGTTCTTTGTTAAGCGAAGCTTCTCATGTCTATGAGGAAATTCACAGAATTTGAAATTTTAAATAAAAAATCCTGAGACATATAAAGGTAGAACTAGATTTAATCGTTATCGACTTTTAATTTTTTTTGTATCTTAGTTTATTTACATAATTTAAAGTTATAACTACTTACGTTTGCCTTTGCCTATAGTTGGAAGACTATCTCGGTCATCTTTAGGCTCTGCAATATTAAAATCCAATGATTAAGAAGACCGATACAAGTGAGAAACAAGCGTCAAGATGAACTTGGCAGGCTGGACTAGTAAATGTTTCATATCATCTATTAAATTATAATCAATCAATCTTCACTGTTTCGGATGTGCTTCATTTAACGGCTGTGTCATTCATTCAGCCTATAAATACCATTACTCGTCTCAATAAACATATGATATTATGGAGCTTTTCTTTCTGTGAAAAGGTCAATTAGTAAACCAAATAGCATAAAATAAAATCATTAAAAGCTCTGAACTCTGCCTTAATTACACACTCGAGTCAATAGAGCTACCGATAGAAGAGAAAGGATATCTCCAAACTCTTCCATCAATATTTGTCCGTGTAACCTTAAATAGGAGCTGTGTTGGTTTTAAAGACAAAGAAGATACATTTGCGACTTAATTAAATTTGAATGTATCTAATCGAAAAAACGGCGACATAGGACTTATTTGAATTTGTCTCCAAGCACGCCATAACTCAAAATGCAAACAGATTTGTGAAGCACGAAACCTCGATTTTTTTTTATTTCTGAAAATTTTCTTTAGCAAAAAAGAAACAAGGGAAACACGCAATCACTGATTAAAATAGGATACATACGATAAAATGGAACAATCTCAGCGCGCTGAACTTTTGTGTCCAAAGAAAAAAATATGCAAAACCGGATTCTGCTGGGGATGAAGGAGAGAGGAAATGATAGCGCGAAGACCATTATGCAAGGAAGCGACAATGCGATGACGACGATGCGATCGCACGATGAAGCAATAGCTTGATGACACAATGGTGCGATGGCGATAGCGCAATGGTATGATGACGATGAAACGATCCATACGTGTTAACGCATCAGTGTTATCGCTCTACCGCATTATCGCGCCATCGACCTTTTAGTTGATGTTCGATGATGCGGTAGTAAACTTCATAGCCTAGCTATCCACATTTCACAAATCTGAGCACAAATATGTATATATCTATTCATTGACCCTGCCTAGCATCTATTACATAAGCGAATAGTTATGTGAAATCAAACTTATATATGTTAATGTCTAGCCATACATGTATTTACTATATATTTACTAGAACATGGCCATATTTTAACAGAAATATGGTAAATCGTTCTACTTGTAATATGAAGGCTAAGAACTTCTTCAAGCTTAAAAGTCCATTAATAAAAAATCAGACTGGGAGAACAGCAAAGTTAACATAGATCTCGAAAAGCATCAGACGATTGATCAGGTGTCACGTAGGATTAAGCATCCCCTTTCGACTGCTTTCGACAATTTAATTTAAAAATAATGATAATATGTCTTTACTCTTTATTTGGAATTTATCTACATGTACATGGCCTTTATGCATAGGCGTCGAAACCGGGGGCTAGGGGAGGGGGGGGGGCTTACCCCCTCACTTTTTTTGGCCAAGATAGACATTTTCTGTGCATTTAAAATTGGGGTTTACCTTTTTTTGTTAAATCTATCGGCTTCGATTCTCGTTCGCGGCGCCGCGTCATACCTAAGACGTAAACATAGGTAGTGACAGTTCCTTCGCCAAGCGCTCGGCACTAGAAGTGAAAGTCACGGGTCTTTCGGATATGACCTTAAAAAATGTAGGTCCCGTGTCACGGTAGGCATTGTCACGATGAAGAACTCTCGCTGCTCAATGGCCCCGAGTGCCGAGTATAGGTCTAAATTTGAAGCCCTTCAGCATACGGTGACGTCATATGAATGAAAAATTCTCGAGAGGGACGTTAAACAATATACAATCAATCAATATACCTACACAAATCCCTGATCTCCAGGTGTATCATGCAACAAATACCTTTAATTCACAGAGAAACAAAGAATACCTAGAACTATATCAACAAACGAATTGACAGACATACAAACGAAGTAAAACTTTTTTATCCTTCGACTTTGATGTTTTAGAGTTTTTATTTTTGTGAACTGTGCTGAACCTCATAAAAAAGTTTCAAGGACACTGCAGTGCTTTATTTAATCGTGTTAACGTTAAAGCGTCAGTAGGGCTGTCATTAAGCACGTCCCTTCTTAAAAGCTTTTCCGAATCCATTTAGGAACCGGAAATAATCAATTAGTGTTTGAATCAAGTGCGCATGATCCGGTTCCGATATCTGCACTGGTTATGGACCTTTTACCGGATGTTTACGAGGTTCTAAACATGATTTCTTGATTACATTGTGTACATATTATTCGTTCTTTTACACTAAAAACAACTTTTCAGGAATCCGTTCGCAACTTTCAAATTTCCGAAGCTGATAATAAAATCGTCAGAATTTTCCGGCACCATTCACAAGATTCATTTTTTGCTACATATTAACGCATGTATTCTTTGTAGGTCCGCCAGGGAACGTCAGATGTAAAAAAGAAAATGCAAGAAAATATGAAATGGGGCCTTTCACTCAGACAATTAAGCTTATATAGTTGATTTTTCAAACTTAAGCTGACATGGTGAATTCCATAAAGGTCATTTAAACAAGGTCAAGGTAACACGTTATGGGAAAAAAAATTTGCTTGTTAAGTCCTAGCTTATGACCAAAACATTCAGGGTCACTTGGATGCCACTTAAAATAAAAAAGAAGGGGTTTTTTTTTTATCAGAAAGAGGCATTGGACGTTAAAAGCTCGGCCATGAAATTGGAAATTTGGCAATAGGTGTCTTGTGCTTAATTATTTAAGGTATTAACATCTGATAAATGGAAATTACGGAACATGATCATCTTCGCAATGCCAGAGGTCCTGAGTCAACACGTTACCATTGGACCCCTAGCATATTTCATTCAATATTCGTGGGCTGGCTGAAGCGACCACTTTCGAAAAATTACAAGTCTTGATTTTTTTTCTTATCTAAATCAATAACATTAATAAAGCCATTCTGTAATAAACCACTCGTAAAATGTGCATTTGAAGTTTCAACTGACTCATTTTTGTTTACATTATCTAACTGTTTATTAAAGCATTCTTTTGATTGGTGCTTCTCAATGAGAGAAGTAAGCCCTAAAATATTGAATGAAATATGCCGGGGATCCATCGGCAACGTTTTGACTCAGGAGCCCTGGCATTGCGAGGAAAGATGAAAGTGTAATAGTTTATGGCATACATAAGTAAAAATGTTAGGCTTAGCATTAATCAAGAGCAAATCCAAGTTTTTGCAAAGAGGAAGCGTAATGGATGAGGACAGCAAAATTTGTCGTAGGGAGCTGGTGCCGTTATACCCCCCTAGCTCCTGGCCACCTCTATAGTCTATTTGAGAAGAATAAATCGCTTATTCTTACCATTCTTCAAGAAAAAAAAATTATCTGAATACTTCCAACTTGCATTTTCCAAATTGGATTGGCTTTAAGTGCCGACGTTATAATGTAATTTTTGAATATATCGAGTAGGAGTAGATTTTCTCTACATACATAAAATATTGCTTGACAATGAGACCAATTCCGAGATGTGCAAAAGATTGTTTCCGGAAAATAATTATATGATGTATTTATCATTGATTTATCATTTTTGTACTTACCATATAAAGTTACGACTATATATACGTGTTCTGACGACATTTATAAACCGAATCCATTAAATCAAAATTATTAGAATAATACTAAAACTTTTGATTAAATGATTTGAACTAAAAAATATCCTAGCTTCCCTTATTTTTCCATGAGAAATGAAATCTTTTCTCTTTCCGCGCTCTTGTTTTCACCAGGGACAGTAAAATATGGCCTCTGGTTTCAGTGAAGAATCAATCTCTCATTAAGTTAACTCAACCACCAAATTTGCAATGAATTCCTTAATTATCAGTAAACCATCAACAAAAAAAGGTAGCTTCGAATTCCCTTTGTTTTACAGAAATTTCTATGAGGAAAAACAGCCTAAAGCATTTGTAGACTCAATGCGCATTAAAATTTACAGGTGTG